TGATGATCTAAAGCCAACACAATTCCTCACTCAATGAACTTTCTTCTAAATATTATTAGTAAGCTTTTGCAGTTCTCTTTCTCTATTTTTTTATTTTATTATTTTATCTGTGGGGGAGGGAGGAGAGAGAGAGAGAGGGGGGGAGAGATATATAGATAGATGTGTCATAAAAGTCGAAGTAAACAAAACTGAAACCGAGGCGAGTGAACACAACACTGCGTTTGTTATTAAACAAATTTGCCAATGAGGGGAAGGGGAGGGGGAGGCGCTGGGGGAAGAGGAAAACGTCTCCAGACTGATGTTATTGTTGCTGCTGTTATATGAGCGCATTTGTTTAATTTTACGACTTACGTGTACAATGGTGGAAAATGTAAAACATATTGCGATATTTTTGGGGGAATTTTTCTTCTTGGTATTTTATACATTTTCATTTTATTCATTATTATAAACATTTATTATTTATTTTATTCATTATTCATTTAATTCATTATTATTAACATAAATAAGTTAATAATCAATTCATTTTATTCATTGTAAGTCAATTTATTCATTATTTATGTTATTCATTTTATACTTATATCTTTTTTAATTTTCCAAATATTTCTGGACTAATTTCTTTATTTTATGTATCATTATTCCTTAGTATTTTTCTAAATTATTCATTATTCATCCTCATAAGTTAGTTAATGATTAGAGTTTACTGGCCTAAGGGATTACTAACCTAATAGTTTGCAAAAATATATATATACACCTATTGAGTCATTGATGACTCAATTTTTCGTTGATATATAATTCTATGGTAGCGCCAAGTGGGCTTAATTTGTCCCACTGTGCCTTATTTGTCGCTGCTGCTTGTGTTTGCTTCTTTTATTTTTATAGGCTTTTTAAAAATTCTTGTCTGTATTACATCATTTTACTCAGTCTCTGCCTCTATCTTTTGCCATTTCCATTTCCATTTTCATTTCAATTTCATTTGTCTGACCCAGCCCAAAAGGTTCGGATTTAACCCTTTTTGATATCTGAAGCATCTCATCTGCTGCATTTCTGCTGCTTTTGCCTTCTTTTTTTTCTTTTTGTATATATTGATGATGATGCACTTGTCCCTTTTGTTTTTTTTTCCCTGTTCTCTGTTTTGGGTCTCCCTTTGCACTGTCTGTCCGCATCTTCATTTGCTCCCTCTCCCATTCCCTCTCTTGCTCTCCCCTTTGCTATGCTAATTTTATAGGGCAAAAGGCGTCTGTGCTTATCACACACACTCACACTCACACACAAGCGCTATATGCAGCTATACCTCTTGAATATCTATCTATATGTATATATATTCCTGTATAGGGAAAACCCCAGACCACCACCCCCTTGTTTTTCCCCCTGTATATACTAGTGCCTGCACAAAAGTTGCGCAACATGTGGCGGCGTGTGTGCATTTTATTTGCAATTGTAATCCATAGCAGCCCCGTTGTTTCCTCTTCAGCATTGTTTGATACCCTTTTGTAAAGGGTATTGAGAACTTTTGTATTTAACATTTAATATTCAATTAAATTAAACTGAAAGTTTTACTTTGATTGGTTGAATCACTTCCGAGTTCCTTGAGTTTGTATTCGAGATGATCTTAAAATAAATCGTTTAATTAAAGATTACTCCCTTGTTTATTGAGTAAACCAAGCCAAACTTGGCATAAGTTTAGACAAGGCTTCAATGCAAAAAATATAAAAATTTAAGCTCAATTGAAACATATATTTTGTAAAATTGAGAAGAGTATTTAAAAGCCTTCTGTGTGCGCAGCTTCCATTCACCTTTGCTGATGCCGGCTTTTGCTTTATTATTACGATTTGATCTTGGCTTCGTTCGCTTAGCAACAAAAGTTGCTGTCGTCTCGGATATATATGTATATACACATATATGTATATGTATATATAAATATAAAAAAATTAAAAGTTGCTTTGTTTGGTTTTCTGCTTCTTCGACGCGGTTTCTTGTATTTTAATGCAGCAAACGAGTTTGTCTGGTTTTTTTTCTCCTTTATTTTTTTTTGTTGGATCCAAAGAGATATATGAAACAGGCAGGGGGACGAACCGATTTACGCGGAATAACCGTTAGTAAACTAAGGCACAACCCTAGTTTTTATTTAAAGCAATGCTGCTATTATTATTATTATTATTATTATTATATTATTTCTATTTGCTATACTGCAAATAAAATGCACTTTTTGCAGGGTTGCTGATACATATTGTATTTAGTTTTATCATTGTCCATCAACATCATCATCCTCCCATTCATTGTTTATTTGTTGCAGTCTGGGTCTCTGTCTGGAAATTCCCCTTTTCGATAAATAATAAAGCTGTTCCCTGGAAATCTCGCTTTGACAGTTGTTTTTTCTTTGTTTTTTTTTTTACTCATATTGTTGCTTCATTTTATTGATTTTTAGTTGAAGCGCAATGCCGTGTGTGTTTGCTTTTCGATTAATTACTTTTGTTTTTTAAAGGGAATTTTTGTGCTTTTAGCAAGTTGCTGAAATTTCTGGGAATTATGCATAATTGAATTTCCAGATTTCTAGAATTCCACACTTCCAGATATCTAGAATTCCAGATTTCCAGACTTCTAGATTTCCAGATATCTAGATTCCTGTGTGTCATCTGAATTTATTTATTTGAAATATTTATTCCATAGCTTTAAACAAATGCCTTTCTGCTTTTCTGACCATTTTTGGTGGCATTCCTTGGAGTCAGTCTTCCACTTGGCAGCTTTTTCCGCAACGTATGCATCTTGTTTTTTATTCCTTTATTTTTATTTTATTTATTTATTTTTTTTATCTTGCTGCGTTCCTTTGGCGCTGCTAATGAAAAATGGCCGACGAAGCAGCATTCCAAGATTTTTTCTTAAAACCCAATGAGGGGCAAAAAGGGGGAAATCTTGGTGGTCTGTTGGTTGTCTAGCCAAAGTGGAATGATGACGTTAGCAAAGCAACAAAAAAGAGGAAAAAATATAAGAAAAAATTCCAAAGAACTTGTCTTGACTCCTTTTTTATACAATCTCCTGGAAAGAATCATCTGACTCATGCCCACTTCTCGGCCGAGCCTCTCTTTCGCACCCATCGCACGGCAGGTTTCGATTTCGTTGCGGTTTCCAGTTTTATTTTTATTTATTTGTATTTCTTTTTTTTTTTTTTGCACTTGATCTTGCAACTTGTTGCACTTGTCAGCAGTCTCCTGCCCCATACCTCCTCACCTGGGTTTTATTCCTTATTTATTTTGTTGTCAAGCGCCAAGTTTCAGCTTCTTTTTTGTTTTGTGTCTTGCTTGCACAGTTGTTTATTATTTCCCATACAAAAGTATTTAATGTTTAATGTTAAAAAAAGTGAGAGTTATGTTTAAACAGTTGATTTGCTTTGGCGAGGTGTTTTATTTAAAAAACAATGCCAAAAAGTGAGCAAAGGCCAAATTTTATGGAATATTTGTATAAAAAGTAACAAAGAGCCCAAGAAAATATTATAAGTATTTAAATGTAAATAAAAACATTTAGAAAATAATAGGGGGGTATCAGAAAAATAAGGAAATAACAATAATGTTTTATCGATTTTTAAAAAAATCGATGCATAAGTTGGTATTTCATAGTGGCAATATATGTGAAATAAAACAATGTTAAGATATATTTATATATCGAACCAATATTGTAAAAAAAGGAAACGTACTAATTGAATACAAGCTTTCGAATATTTGTCGATAATATCGATATTTGAAAGTGAATTTCAATCTTTTCGTCCTTTATTTATTCTGTATTTAATGTTAAGTTTAATAATATGAAAACTTGATGTTATTTTGTAATATATATTACCTGTATTTTTCAATTATATTAATATTTAAACGTGAATTGTAATATTTTTAGATAATTTTTTTACTTTATTGTTAAGTTTGATATTATGTTGTATACTTTTCCTATACATATTTTATTTTTATTAATATCGATACTTTAATGGTAAGTACGATATTTATATCCTTTGTTTTTCGATAATATCGATATTTTATCTAAATTGTATCACATTTTCAATATAATATTTTATTATTATATTATTATCGATATTATTTTTCGATGTATTTTCCCCTCGATATACATCCCCCTCCCCTTCCTGCAGTTAACCTGCAGCATCTTCAACTTATTCTTGGTTCAATGTTCGCAACGGAAACGTTAAATTAGCGAAACGGAAGAGGAGAGAGAGAGAGAGCGGAGCCCCCAAAGCTTTCTCCAATAGCTCCCCAGCTTTCTTTCTCTTTCTCCCTGTTGCCAGGCGGAATTCCATAGAATGGGGAACAGAATGGCAACAACAACAAGAAAAAATACATATAATAATAATAAAAGAAGGGAAAACAACGACCAATGACGTCAACAACAAACACACAAAAAAGGGCGTCGTCGTCGCGACAGACAGACGACGACGTCGTAGTCGTCGCCACTTGAAATTGAAATCCGTGCAAATCTATTGCTTCCTGAACTCTGATACACTCTACTATACCATACTATACTATATAATACTATACTTTACTGTATATATACTATATACCGGATATGGAATATACACCAAAGGAAGAGGCGGAGGAAACGTTGACACACTAATCCGCTTTAGTCCTCAGCTCAGTCCTCCTTTTAGTATAGTTTTGTTTGATTCTCTTTTTTTCCACCTACCAAGTCATAATTCTTAGCCAAGGGTCATTAAACTTGGGCCAAGGAAAAGAAAAACATTTGCAGGGCTTTAGTAAATAGAATAAATAGTAAGAAGAGCCAAAGTATTGCATGATGGGTAGAAATAGTTACTATGTAGTAGAAAAAAATGTATAGTAAATAGAGCTCTCTTTTGTGATGAATAATTGTAATTATTTAGCTGAAAAAACTAAAGGAAATGCATCTTGTGTAAAATAAAATAACAAAATTAATGTAACAAAACAAACCCCCCTCCCTCCCCCATATTTAATAAGCAATCCTCTTTGATTTGTATTCCCTTTTTATAGATGAGGAAATCGATGTGGTCTCCTACACGGACAAGAAGCTGCCCAATAATCCATCGTGCCAGATAATGGGTGCTTTGCAAACAAAAATGGCCCATAAAATATCTGTGGATCAGAAGAAGCCACGATATGGTAATTACAATCTACCATATACACCGGCCAGTAGTAGTCCTGTGAAATCTGTGGCAAATTCACGCTATCCATCGCCATCGAGTACACCGTATCAGAATTGCTCATCCGCCTCGCAATCATATTCACCGCTGAGCGTTGATTCATCGAGCTCAAGCAGTTCGAGCTCGAGTACAAGCTCGATATCCTCTGGCTTGGTGGCAAATACCACACAGAAGGGGCGTAAGCATTATTACCTGAATGTGGCCACAGATGGCATTGGATCGCGACGAATCCTTCAATCATCATCATCATCATCCATGATGAGCAAAAAGTGTCGTGGCAAGAAGGCGGCAGCAGCAGCAGCAGCAGCAGCGGCGGCGGCAGCAGCAGCGGCAGCAGCAGGCAACATTAGCAGCAGCAGCAGCAGCATTAGCAGTTCCTCATCATCCACCGGCTCCGTATCGCCCATGGCCCAATCCCAGCAACACAATTGGCAACGCCAAAGCAGCTCAAACTCCAGTTCGAGCCTGGCCAATAGCGGTCGAAATGGTAACAATAGCCAGTTTAGTTTGGATGAGGCCGATACGATTGAGAAGCGTAATCAGCACAATGATATGGAGCGTCAGCGTCGCATTGGCCTGAAGAACCTGTTCGAGGCACTCAAGAAGCAAATACCAACCATTCGGGACAAGGAGCGAGCGCCCAAGGTGAATATATTGCGTGAGGCGGCCAAATTATGTGAGCAATTGACTCGCGAGGAGCAGGAGCTCAGTTTGCAGCGTCAAATGCTTAAGGAGAAGCTCAAACAGCAACAGGAACTTCTAGCCCGATTCCGTATGGTCAAAACCGAGCCGCTTCAGGCAACCAGCGGATAGTAGTGATGATGATGATGATGAAGGATCAGGAAGGAGCAAGGAGCAGGTGTCCAAGCTCTGTGATGAGCAGGTGAAGCTCTAGAAGCAGCAGGAGCTGTCAAGAGCAAGAAGCCTTGGAATAGTAGTGATTATGATAACTGATTACTGATCGTAATGATATGACCCCTAGAGCGGCGGCGTTAGGTCGTAACTTTAACATATATATATATATAACATATTTCCTTATAATATTTTTCTTTTTTTTTTACTTCTATATTTCACTATGATCCACAGAGATCTTAGATATATTTGACCTTGACCTTAAACATCTTAGGGTTTCTTTTCTTTTTTTTTTAAATTTTGTTGTGGAACTTCAATATCAGTTATAGGTAGGCTTTATACAATATGTTTATAACCATTATTTTGGGCTTGCTTCTTTTTTTTAAATGTTGGTGATTTAACAACAAATTTGATTTCTTTAATGTGATATATATATGATTTTCTTCTTAACCTGCGATTCGATTTCGAAGAAGTATGATCGAAACAGAGAAAAACTAAGGAAAACTGCATTTCCTTTTATTATTTTTGATTTTTTTATGGAATCACGTTGAAGTGTGTTTTTTTCGTCGCTGCTATAATTATTAGGCCTTAGCTAGTTAGTTTAGGTTTTCTGTAAATAACATATATATATATTAATAACATGTAGGGTTTATATTATATAGCTATTATTTTTTATATATTATATTAAATTAGCTACTTAACCATGAAGTAAACAAAATGGAAAACAAAGCAAAAAACAAAAACGAAGAGAAAACAAACTACAAACAAACAAGGACAAAGAACCAAAACAATGAAAAACAGATAGAAACACGAAATGAAAGGGAAAGCAGAGATGGAAATGGAGGAGAAAATATATATATCTATATATAAACAAAAAAGAAAAACAAAGAAAAACGGATACGGAAAACAGACAAAAGTTACAACGAAAGAGCCACAAAGAGGAGTTTAGAGAGAGAGAGAGAGAGAGAAAGAGTTAGAGAGAAAGCCAGAGAAAGAGCACACATAAGATCGAAATAAGATCTATATTTTATAGGATTTAGTATAGCTAAAAGTAGAACTTTTGGTTGCTAAAAACCCCTTAAATATAACCCCCCTCCCCCTAAAAAACATCTTCAGAAATGTTGAGCCGGCTCCAAAATATTCTAAATAATGGTTCCCCCACAAAACTTCTTGACGAAGCGATTCGGAACGGGGCCATTAAATATATATATGCTGCTATTTACGCTAAATATATATATATACACTACACCTTTATACTTTGACTTTAGTTCGATAGTTACTAATAAAATATATATATAATATATAAAAAAAAGTATATATATATATATATCTTTTTATATGTGCGCTTGATCCTATGTATATATCTTTACATATGTACAAAAGACGCATCCTTGGAGCAGAAGCAAAGAAGAACGCACCTCCCCCCCCAAAAAAAAACCAACCTCAATATGCTTTTGCTTAGATACCCTCAGATTCAGATATACAAAATATATCTGTTAGAACTATGATAATGATGTTGAAAGGAAAACGCTTTTTATATATATACAAACAACCTCCCCCTTACCCCCACAAATACAAAAAAAAAGAGAAACCACTTGAACGAACTCTACTGCCTATATAAAAATACATTTTTTTATTTGCTATGAAGATTCAAATATATGAATATATATAAATATATACATATATAGAGAACCTGTTTACACTTATACATATATTATTACTATATTCAGTTTTTTTTTTTGCTACTTATATTAATATATATAATACAAATATATTTTTAACTGATAACTATGCATATGAAATGCGCAAAAACTTAACGAAAACAAAAAGAAACACGGAATTAAGAAAACCTTTAAACTATTTAATAGTGCTAAAAACAAAAAACTAAACGAAAACCTCTCGGGATCGATATAGTAGGAAGAAGTGAAATACATAGATAACGAAAGAAAGAAAAAAATAGAAACGAAAGAAAGGGCGAGTAGTGGAGAAAATTGGCTGCAAAAAGTTTGTTGTTTATTGTTGGAGTAGCGAGTAGCAAGTAACGAGTAACGCACTATGAGTTACAAGTAACAAGCATCGAGCGCCGCTCTATAAGTTACAAGTAACGAGAAGCCAGTAACGAGTGAACCCATATAGCGATCGAGAGAGAGATATCATCATCAAGAGATATACCCCCTGACCCGACCCCAAGAGAACTCAAACTTTTGTGAGCTGTTTAACTGTCGATTTTTTGCTAATAAGTTAAAAATGCCGCTAGGCTATTTATATATATATATATGAATATATATGTTATATAGATATACGTATATATATGATGATGAATGATTATTATACCAATATCTAAAATATCAACTAAATAACTTACTACAACTATTACTTATACATATATATATATATATATATATATATACTAAAAGGACATGAAGTGAAGTTGAAAGCGCATTCAGAGAATAGGGATAACGAACTGCGAAAATTAACGAGTGTCAGCTGTTATTTAGGTTTAGAAAAACACACACATACACACATGATATGCAAATATATATTAAGCATGGAAATTGAATTAGTTATGTACGAGAATATATGTATATATATATTCGTTTCAACGAAATTTTGATACATGAGTTTCTAGGCTTATATACTATACCAATATACAATATATATTATTATATATTTCTTATAACTTTTTTTTTAACATATACATTATATAATCAGGATCAGTCCCATGAAATATCCCCCTATATTTTTTCAATACGCCGCCGCTAAAAAAAAAACAAAACAAACTTAAATACTTGCTACATTTTTTCTTTGGATTTAATGATAAACACGAAACTTGTTAAATGAAAGGAACTATTGAGGAATATATATATATTTTTTTGTATTGTTTCAACCATTAAATGTACACACACTGTAAATAGCAATCTCGTTAAATAATAGTTACACACAACACACACACGAACCCAAAAGATGGAATTATTTTTATAATAAACAAAACAAAAAAACCCCGGAGAGAAAACACAAAGCAATAGACTTAAGCGAATTGTACAACGCGAAAAACAAAAACAAAACTTCAATAAACCAAAACACACACACACACACACACACACACACACACCACAAACACACACACCACAAACACACACACCTATATATACACAAATGCACCTATTTTCCTATAGTACATACAAGAAATAGCTTAAACACCAATAATATCCTTGTTTTCTTTCAACAACAACAAACAATATTTTCACCAACAAAACAAAACAAAAACAAGAACCGTACAAATTTACGATACAATAAAACAAAAAACAAAATGTAGAAAACAAATGACAAGAAACAAAAACATAACAAAAGTTACAAGAACATGAGAAGAAAATGAAAGGCAATTTAACCTTTACTTTGTTTTTTAGTCCTTTATTTAATTTATTTTGTTTGTCGCCAGACGCAAACGAATCAATTTTCAAGTGAAACAAGCATTTTTTTTATACATAATTCTTTATTTCGATTTCAATTCGAAACATTATAAACAAAACAAAAACAAAAAAAAACAATGACCAAACCAAAATCCTCGCAACACAAAAAAAAAAACTTTAAAAAATTTGTTTTTGCTTATAAACAACAATTATAACTAAAAAAAAATGGAAACAGTTTTTATGTTTAAATATATCTATTATATAAATTTTTTATGATTATGAAATTTTTTATATTATACACACAAGCTACTATTTGAATTAGTTGTTAAAATTTATTATTATTAAACGAAAAATATTATTTGAAACAACAAATGAAAGAAACAACAAAAATAAAAATTAAAAACAAAAAAAAAAAAGGAAAAACTTATTAAAAAAAAGGAAACAATATAAAAACACTGTTAACACACTGAAAGAAAAATTTATGATCCTATATAGACGAGCATAATTGAAACATTATATGTATATTTAAACAGCCTTTTTTAATGTATTTTTGATTATGCTTTTGTCTATTTTTTGGATGAATATTTTTGAAATGCAAACAATTCTATGATTTTGATGATACAAATTCTGTTCATTTTGGTTATTATTGCTTATTAAATATATATACATGTAAAAAATCGCAAAATAATATTGATTTACAAAACAATCAAGCTAAACAACAACTCCTATAAATATATATATATATAATCTAGTAATTTTTAACTCGTTATGTAGTTACCTATTAATGAAAAACAAAAAACAAATTGAAAACGAAAAAAAAAAATGAGAAAAGTAAACACAATAATTACATTTTATGTACCTCTTACATATATAAAGTATATATTACACAAACACACACACACACTTATATATATACACATACACAAACAACAACACTACTTTATATAGAGAAGAAAAAAAAAACAAACCGTTTAAACATATATAATATCTTTTTTTTCAAAATTTATGATTATGGAATTATACAATAAAAATATTTCAACATACCAAGAAAGAAATCAACTTTTTATTTTGTTTTTATTTCAAAATCACATCTGTTTTAATATTGAAGCTTTCCAGCTTTCCATTTCCGTCGATTTTTGGAACAAGGCTTTTGCTCTTCTTTTATTTTTTTTATTTTTTTTTAATTTTTCAGGCGTCTATGATTTTGTATTTTGAATTTCAGAATTCTGGTTTTATGTTTGTTTATTTCAGTTCTAAGGCGGATATGGCAAATATCCGAGGAAATCTGAGGAAAAAATACCCCATTGATATTTTTTTAATTACTTTAACAATTGTTCTAATACATAGCTTAAATTATGGTTTTTATTTTTATTATCACATACACTATATATAGTTGTTATGTATTTATTTATAAATATTTATATTTATTTTAAGTAATTTAATTTAAACCCTTAGGACTAACTTAAAATTTGTAAGGTTTAACAACTTACTTTATACTAATTTATAGAATTTATATTTATGCCTTAACCTAACACTATATACTTAAAAAAAATAAGATTAATATTAGCAAACCATTTAAACCCAATCGTTCCTATGACAGCCATAAGATAAAGTCAACCGATTTTAAATCGTTTTTAGGCATCTATAGTAATTTTATATGCAATAAAAAGGATATTAAATTTTACAATATTACCTATATTTTCTGTTATTTAAATATTTTAATAAAATTTTTGTTTTTTTGAGGAAAAGTTTAATTTAGAAGGATTTACAATTTAAATTTTTAAACAAGGAGTCTAAATAGACTCGGCTGTGAATGCAGTTCTCGAAAATGAATACCATTCACTGTCTTACAAACTCTCTATAAAAATTATAATACCCTTTACTTGAGGAATTTTTTAAAGTAAAGTAAGTAACTTTTCCTACTGTTTTTTTTTTTCTTTTGTTTTTGTGTCTATTATTTTCCCATTTCGCCAATTTTCACTTTCATTTTTGTCGGCGGTCAGACGTACCGCAGTTTGAGTGTTTGTGCGGTTAGTGTGTGTGAATCATTCACAAATGATTCATGGAAAAAAAGGGGTGATTTCGGGTGGGAAAATTGCTTTGTCGCCGTTTCTAATCAAGAGCTTTTGGGGTGTCGGGTCGGCGCATTCTCCGCACTTTGTTCGTTTGTTCAAACAAATTAAGTTAATTCAATCAGAAATTGCTGCTGTTGTTGTTGTTGCAGTTCGTTATTGTTATTGTTTTACCGGCAAAAAAAAAACAACAAAAAAACAAAAACAATTTAATGAAATCAAAGCGACAACAAAGGCAGGAAAGAAGCAGACAGAAGCCGGCCGGAATAACAATAATAATAACATTAATAGTAACAGTAACAATAACAGTAACAAGCAAAATGTTTATAATAAAATAAAATTTAATGTAAGCAAGGTCTCTTATTTTTTATTTTTAATGTTTTTTATATTTCTTGAGCTTACCACAATTATTTACTTTAGTTTTTTGTGTTCTTTTACTTTTTCTTGGTAAGTGAATTAAGGAAAACTAATAAATAAAACAATAGACAATACATTTAAATACTCTTATTTTCTAAAATTTATTTATTTTAATTATATTTAATTGAGCTTATTTTAATATTAAGAATTATTTTCAAGTCTTATTGTGATTAAGTAA